CCCCCCCCCCCCCCCCCCCCATAAGTCTAAAGCCCCCAGTATACTCTTGCGTACATCAGTCCGCGGCGGTCCGCACGTACCGGATTAGAGTCGAAGCAGACGCCCACAGGGCATGTCCGCACAAAGCTCAATTTTTACGACCGCGTACGCATACTCGGTGTGTCGCACAATAAACTGCCCGGTGACGGAATGTTTTGTAGCAACACCAATGTATTAAATTCAACCTTCTTCATCCTTGATCTGGCCTTTTCTTTTGTTTTTTTTGCCAAAAGGCAAGCGATCTCTTCCTCTTCTGTTGATGCCATGACTGAAATGGTGAGAAATGAAGGAATTTGTCACGAGCGAATTAAAATCGGGTCCAGCGTGGCTGCGGAGAGTCTGGAGATTTCCTGGTGGGCTGCTCTGATGTGTGGGCTGCAGGGCCAGAACAGATGCATGAGAGAAGCAGAGCATGCTTTATTCACACAAGGAGAGCTGTTGGTCAGGTTACTTCTTGTTGTGCCATTAACTCTAAAATAGTTATTGAATCAAGTGTTTACACATGTAGGTAAATGTAGATGTTTAACAACACATTAAAATACACCAGAATGCAGGAAATGGCATCTACTTTATTCAAAATTTTCTGGGGGAGGTCCCCCAGAACCCCCCCCCCCCCGCCAATAGTGAGTCCCCCCCACATTACAAATGTTTCTGACACAAATGGTTTAAAGGGATCTTTGATCATTAGGAACAATTTCATAATTTCAGTGGCTCATAATTTAGATTAACAGACAAAACAATAAGTCAGTGCATCTGAAGTATATTTTTATTTCATTTATAAAGTCTTGTAAAACTGCTACAGATCAGATTTATTCATAAATCTATCTTCAACACGAGTCCAAACAGTTTTTAGACTGAGGAAAACTGCACTCATATTTGATGTGCACGGACAGTTTCTCAGCCTTGTTTACACTGCAAAGTGAGTGCATTAAAAGTCTTTAATGACCTCTTAAGGGTTTTTGCTTACACGTTTCCATGGCAACGTCGGAGCGCTGCATATGTCACTCTGTGGTCATGATTCTTTTTTCATTTTTGATTTTATTATTGTGTATGGATGCATGTCAGATGGTTAGTGACCTGTTCTTGTAGTTTATATGTTTTTATATTTTTGTAAAAACAAATAAGCTTCTGTTGTAAGTCACATGACCATGTGACCCAGAAGTGAGTCAAATACTTCAAAAAGAGAATAAAAATTATTTAACCAGACAAATCCCATTGAGATCACAGATCTATTTTGCAATGGAGGCCTGGGCCTGAAGGCAGCCTAACATGCATGTCTGTGGGAGGAAACCGGAGTACCTGGAGAAAACCCACGCAAGCACGAGAAGAAAACTCCACACAGAAAGACCCCAGGTCCAACTGGTGATTGAACCCAGGACCTTCTTGCTGCGAGCCAACAGTGCTAACCACTGAGCCGTCATGCTGTCAAACAGGGCATAACAGGATATCACCAACTTATTTTATGTTGACACTTCTAGAAATGCTGCACTGAATTATTCTCCTCACTGATTCATGTCTGAGAATAACACACGAGGAAACCTTGTGAAATGTAGTTACGATTTTTAAAATAAAGTTTAATGGAAAGGTAAGAACAGTGAATATCTTACCTGTTAATGATAGCTTTTTGAAGAAAATAACTTTTGAAGAAACAGTTTAACTCCGATCAGATTGACAAGCTAATATCTAGCCCAAACACAGCATAATATATAAAAACTTCAATCTGAAACATTTGATCGCTGTTCATTCAAATGTTGTTTAATAAATTTAACAACTGCTGTGAATTTCACATTGTATGGTTATTCCAGCAGACAATTTATAGTATTCTCGCTGGATGTGCCTTGAATTGAATTGGTAGTGCTAAAGCTAGCTGCTACTGCTGATATTTGCGCTTGCAAATGATCGAAGAACTCTTTGTAAATAACCTTGGAATGCAACATTGACAGGGATGGTTATGAAACGGCCTTTGCAGGAGTAGAGACATGAGTTTTGAGATTGGAGTTGTTTTAAGACATCAGCAACTTTGACTGTGTTCAAACTAGCCGTTAGCGCTACCTACAGCAGGTGAGATATTTATTGTTTAAAACATGTCCACAAAACCCCACTTCAAGAATCTGAACTAATAGAAGCTCTGTTCATATTTTTATAAATGTTTAAATTGAAGTTTTTCCACACATTTTTATGCTCAGTCTTCTTTAAAATGAAAGTTTTACGTCATATTGTTGTGGTTTGCAGGAGTTTAACCCCCAGGAGTTCTACCACCTTCTGGAGGCAGCGGAGGACCACGCTAAGGAGGGTCACCTGATGAAAACCGACATTCCTCGTTACATCGTCAGCCAACTGGGGCTCACCAGAGACCCACTAGAAGGTGAGGAATGCACACGGTGTACAGCAAGTCTTTTATTTGAACCAAAGCGATTGAACTGAACCAAACACCTGCTCGTTACCAGACATGGTAAACCTGGAAAGCTACGATAGCGAGGGACCCGTCACACCTGAGGCCGATGATCCGACGGAGGTAAGATCCAAATCAACCCAGAGCTTTTCTCCAGAGCAGCAGCTCTGACTGCTGCTCTAAATTAGATCTGCACGTGCAAAGTGATGAGGGTTAATGAAAATGCAAGATTTCAGGTTTTATTTTTTTACTTTATCTGGCAGTTTAACATAAAAAACTTGGCATGCCCACTTTAGTCCATCTAATTTAGTTAATTCATGCTGACTTTTAGCAAACAGGACTGTCTCTCTCTGAAACTCTGGGTTCTCCTTTTAGCATTAGGCAGGCAGCCCGGGTGGGGGGAGGGGTAGAGCAGAATGAGCAGCACCTAAGGAAACTCAGAATGTGGAATCAGCTTTTTTTGTCTTCGTCACAAAGCAAAGAGGGAGAATTGGAAATGCTCTCCATTCGTCCGTGCACGTTGTTTGCCTAATAGCTTGAAAATAAAAAAGAGGTACCAACTTCCATTTTGATTCCGTGCTGCTTCTAGTAAGAAAGGTTCCTTTTAAAAACTGGGTCACCACGTCAAAATCCAAGATGGCTTCCACCATATACGTATATATGTAAACCTTTTGAGCTGGAAAACTTTAAAAACTAGAGAAATTGCATTTTCTGCAAATGCTTATTGCAGAAGAACTTGCTGAAAAACAGCTAAAATTAGCAACCAAAAAAGCTGAAATATAGCTGAAATGGAAGAATGAGCCCAAATTAGCAAAAGAAAGCAGAAAGAACACATATTTGCTGAATTAAGTTTAAATAAGCACAAATGAGCACAAAAATTAGGAAATTGGCTAAAAAGTTGAAACTAGCAAAAAAAAAAAAAACAGGTGAAAAGTAGCTGAAAAAGCAGAAAGAAGCTTAAATTACCAGAAGGAAACTGAACGAGCTGAAATTAGCTAAAAAAAATTGGAATTAACTGAAAAAGCTAAAATTTGCATAAAATGGATGAATAGTAGCTAAAATAGCAGAAAAAGCTGAAACTAGCAGAAAAAAGCTGAAAGGAGCATAACAAGCTAAAATTAGCATAAATAAGTTAATTGGGTTGAAAGTAGCAAAAATTATCATGAAAAACTAAAATGTATCTGAAAACAGCTGAAATGAGCTAAAAATGCTTAAAAAAATAGCTGAAAATGTAGAACAAGCTTAACTTAGCAGAAGAAAGTTTGCCCATTTATTCTGAAAGAAGCAGAAATGAGCATAAAAAAGTGGAAATTAGTTGACAAAAGCTTAAATGAGAAAAAAAACATCTGAAAAGTAACTAAACAAAACAAAAGGAACCTTAAATTACCAGAAGGAAGTGGAGAGAGCACATTTTTGCTGAATTAGGCTGAAAATAGTTGAAGTGACTGCAAAAAAAATGGAATTAACTGAAAAAGCTAAAATTAGCATAAAAACTGCTAAATAGTAGCTGAAATAGTAGAAAAAGCTGAAACTTGCAGAAATAAGCTGAAAGCAGCATAACAAGCTGAAATTAAGCTGAAAGAAGTTAGAAGAAGCACAAAAAATATTCTTTTTAGCAGAAAGAAGCTGAAGGGAGCACAAAACAGCTGAAATTAGCTGAACATAGCTTAAAAAACGTTTAAATTTGCACAAGGAAGCTGAAAGAAGTTGAGCCAGAACAAAATGTGAAAGGAGCAGTAAAAGGTTGTAAAAATAATGTGTGAAAAGGCTAAATATTCCAAAACGCTAAAGTTACCAAAAAGTCACAGCACCTGAAAAGAGCTGAACGTTTTGATATATGATTTGTTGAAATAGCACAAAACATGCGGGAAGAGAATCGTGCCGAAAAACATACAGAAGAAAAGTGGATCCCAATAGTGTGAATGCTTCATAAACGTTCACACTATAAACAACTTCCGTTCTGGTGTGGCTGCATCTAGGCTAGAGAAAGAGCAACGACTGGGTTGTCACGTCAAAGTCTTATTAAACTGTTTTCCTTATGACGTGTAACTCATGAAGGGCAAGATCCGAGCCATGAAAGCCCCAGGAGAAGCAGACTTTCAGACCATCAAGCTGATCAGTAACGGTGCATATGGGTGAGTAACGTGATGCAACCTGCAGTTCATTTCTTACATGCAAGTGACACGTTTATACATTAGTAGCTCGTTTTATAATTAACAGAAGTCAACTATATGTATTCATGTGTTTACATGTGAACCAGCGCTGTTTACTTGGTGCGTCATCTGGAGACACGCCAGCGGTTTGCCATGAAGAAGATCAACAAGCAAAACTTGAGCCTGAGGAACCAAATCCAGCAGGCCTTCGTGGAAAGAGACATCCTCACCTTCGCAGAAAACCCTTTTGTCGTCTCCATGTTCTGTTCCTTCGAGACCCGCCGCCACCTCTGCATGGTCATGGAGTACGTAGAAGGTGAGGACGTAAAGGTGGAGGTCTGTAGCTGCGTACGTGCAGAGGTGACTGCAGCTGAGAACCAGTGGAACCATGTTTGTTGTCCAGAAGTTAACATTAACTCGTCGTGGCCAAGAGTTTCACTCATTTAAGGTTTTTTATGATTTATTTGAACTGTTTTTTTCCCCCATGGTTTTGTGATTTTTCAGTATAGAACGTTAATGATTTTTAAAACCAGTCATTTGGTGCACAAGTTTAAATGTACTGTGGTGAGAGGGATTCACTGAAATACTGGTGGACTTCAGGATTAAACAAGAGAACTGCAGTTCATTGATATTTGAGTATGAGCCTTTTTATGACAGATTTCTCCGGTCATGTAGCAAACATATCAAATCCTTCTTCTTTTGCCAGCAGTAAAAGTAACAGATTGATTGTGACCTCCACGAGGGGAAGTTACATCATGTCTTTGTATTTTAGACCTCATTCTGAATATCTGGTAATTTGCTCGATGTCCTTGAATGTTCTGTGCAGGATGACTCAAAGAACAGTCGTCATTTACAGAACTGCTGTTCCACACTTGGCTCTGTCTGCTGGGATTGTTGCACGTGGTCCTGAACAGGGACACGCTGTGATCAAACCGTGACCTCTCTCCTCAGGTGGTGACTGTGCCACTCTGCTGAAGAACATCGGGGCTCTGCCTGTGGAGATGGCACGCATGTACTTCGCAGAGACGGTTCTAGCACTTGAGTACTTGCACAACTATGGCATCGTGCACCGAGACCTCAAACCTGACAAGTATGTTTCCTTCCAAGTGTTACAGGAACTGTGCACCCTCTGTTTCATGGCTGTTTGAACACAAGGAAATGCTTAAATAGGTTATTCTGTTTCTATTCTCAGCCTCCTGATAACCTCGATGGGCCACATCAAGCTGACTGACTTTGGTCTGTCTAAGATAGGTCTAATGAGCCTGACCACCAACTTGTATGAAGGACACATAGAGAAGGACACGCGCGAGTTTTTGGATAAACAGGTAGGACTGATTTGATGTGCACATCCTTGATAGAGAGGAGAGTTGGTTTGAGAGAGGAGTGAAGGAAGACATCTTTGTGAAGAGAGCCATCATTAAACAGGGTGGAGGCCTCCGTGTTCAACTGTCCCCCTCGTACAGTGTTGTGATTGCTAGTATCACTCAGCCCCCTGTGAACAGCAAACAGCCACCAGGGCACTGACGATCAGTCGTTAGGCTGATGGTCCTTTTACATGTGAGCAGCTAGTTCTGGCTGTCAGCAGCAAACTGGTTGATCCACATAAAAAAAAAATGTTTCCAAGGCCTTCCTGCAGGCTCAGACCCTGTGTTTTGTTCCCACCCACTCTACATCAACATTCTGATTGGCTTATTTTCCTGTCAGTTATTAAACAGACTCATCCTGGAGAGACTGACTGAGCTCAGCCTTCTCTCCTGACAGTGAAGTCCTAACCAATGAGAGCTCCTTCTGATTCTACCTGGAGACAAAAATTTAAAACAACTTCATTGGATAATAATATTTTCCTGAATTTAAAAAAAACAACTTATTGCTCAACTGTAAATTAGTTTACAGAAAATAAAGAGAAATTAACACACGCAAAAAAATAAATTGAAATTAATTATTTTGTCTAAAATAAATATTAATTAAAAAAATTAAACGTTACATTTCATGCTGAAATCTTAGGCTTTCTCTGAAGGCGTTAAAGGCCCTGAGGGTTCTCCACTACCCTTTACACTGTTCACACATCAAACTGAATGTTGTCAGCTTAGATTATAGTTAGTCATTAGGATTACGTGTTGTAGAAGACGGATCATGTATATTGGAGTTCCAGGTAGGTGCTGCATTGGCACAATTAAAACGTCTTCAGAAATGTTCTAGTTTATATCATAATCATTGGCACATAAACTATAAAAAGATCAATGCTGTGTTTTGGGGCCGTAGCACAATGTAGACTGTTCACATTCAGTCTGATCCTAGCCGAGTTGGAGTAGCAAATGTTCTTTGATGTATTTTCTTCCTGTGAAGAGATATACCCGTTCATCGAGCAGCGGGCATTTCTGAAGCCCGATAAAACGAGACCATCACCAGCAGGCAGAACAATGGACCCCTCTCCCCAGCTATTGCAATCAGAGTACCTCTTTTTAAGTACGGCTCCTATCCACCAGCCTTTCATTCTGCAGTGCATGCTTTGAATCTGAGCCTCATTATTTCTCCTGTACACACAACAGCAGCCAGAAATCTGTTCGTGTTCCAGGAATTTGCACATGAAAACGCACGCCGAGGCTTTGATCCAGTCCTGGCATGTCTGAGGTGATTTACTTGGCTCGCCTGGATCCTCCTTACAGAACTGCACATCTAACCTGAACTAAAGAAACCGCTGTGAAAATTGGGGTTTTACATTTAAAACAAAGGAGAACAGAGCCTGAAATGAGCAGAACACAAACTGAATAAGCAAAACAGCAGCTACAATTAATTTTAAAAACTTGCTAATATTATCTAAACATTTTCTAAAATTAGCCAAGCAGTATTTGATAGTAGCAAAACATATACTAAAGGTAAAATAGCAAAACTGTAACTAAAAGGAGCAAAACAGCTGTTAAAATTAGCAGAGCATTTACTCAAATTAGCAAAGCGGCTGAAAGTAGCAAAGCTGATTAAAATGAGCAAAACAGATGCTAATAGTGGCAAAGCAGATGCTAAAGCTAAACTTAGCTGAACAGTAGCTAAATATGGCAAAACTGTTTAGCAAACAAATTAATAAATATTAAGTTGGTAGTCAAAAGCTAAAATTAGAAAATCGGGAGCTAAAAATAGAGCAGCTATAAGCTAGCAGTAGCAAAATGGTAACTAAACATGACAGAATGGTAGCTAATAGTAACAAAAAAAAGGCGAAATAGAGCGAGAATGCTGCAGCAGATTTCAAGATAATGTTGAATGAACTGAGGAAATCTGTTTCTATGAGGATTTTTATATAAAGTAAAATGTTTTGAAAAGTATATAAGTTACATAAACCAAACGTTGTAGCATGCTATTCTAGATCAAACTGAATGTTTTGATATATAAATGTAAAACAACACAATGTGTATAGGGGTAGTC